GATAACAAACTTATGCTATTCCCGTTCTACCGTCAGATCCATCACAAAGCATAGGCGTTGAGAAAGAGTAACAATTAGCGCCATCACAACAAAGGAACAGGGCTAAATCTGTATGCTCCAAATATAGCAGAAAGTGAATAATAAATGATCATGAAACTTCCACAGGTCACTCAACTTCTTCACTAAGCAATACTTGCATATATTGGGATGCGCTAAACTCAAAATTGACTTTCTTGAAACTGAACTATAGTACGTAATTAACAAACTTATGCTGTTCCCGTTCTACAGCCAGATCCATCACAAAGCATAGGCGTTGAGAAAGAGTAATAATTAGCGCCATGATCATGACAAAGAAACAGGGCTAAATCTGTATGCTCCAAATATAGCAGAAAGTGAATAATAAATGATCATGAAACTTCCACAGGTCACTCAACTTCTTCGCTAAGCAATACTTGCATATATTGTCAAAGTTTAGAGAGGGGATGCGCTAAACTCAAAACTGACTTTCTTGGAACTGAACTACAGTATATCATAATTAAATGGAAAGAAAGGAGAGAAAATATAGAACATTCCGACATAAATGCACACAGATTATTCTGAAGACAGCTACTAGTATCATGCCATACAATTTAATTATCTCAATCGACATTATATTAGCATCAGAAAAGAAAAGTTGGCTCCTAGAGAGGACGAAATGCAAGCAAAAGAACTAAGTTTGTCACACATCACATGTTTCAATCTGTTTTCGCAGAGGATACTTCTGGTGGTGGTTCCAAACTTTCAATCTACATACTCAAAGTTATGTGCAATGGCACCGTAAATATTTTCCCGCAAAATATAATGGCAGGGGTATGCGCTAAAATCAAATTAGAGCAAGCGCAATTTGACAAACGACAAATATATAATTAAATGGATAGAAAAAAGAGGAAATATAGAACATTCCGACATAAATGCACACAGATTATTCTGAAGACAGCTACTAGTATCATGCCATACAATTTAATTATTTCGATCAACATTATGTAGGATCAGAAAAGAAAAGCTGGCTGCTAGAGAGGATGAAATGCAACCAAAAGAACTAGGTTGGTCACAAATCACAGGTTTCAATCTGTTTTCATAGAGAACACTTGTGGTGGTGGTTCCAAATTTCCAATCTATGTGTGTTCAAAGTTCTATAAACGCTACCATATGCCAGCACCAATTCTTTCGCAACATGTACAAAACACGGTAGCACAACAAACAATGGCAATAAATAGGGGTGCCTCCAAAAAGATAGTACTAGATAATTTCCCACCAAATAGAATGCCAAGGGCGTGCGCTAAAATCGACCTAGAGCAAATGCAATTTGAGAAACGACAAGAACGGCAGGAGAGCGGCTCACTCACTTTCTCTTTAACGGCATCTTCCCTTACAACCTGCGGTTGCTGCCTCCGCCGCGTAGCTTCCGGGCTCGCCTCGGCCTCGCCGATCTGCTGCTTCCACTCGAACTGCGATGATATGATGAGCACGAGCAGGAGGAAGACGAGCACGATCGGCCTCGAATTCATCGCTGCAGTCAGCAACAGCAGCAGCCAGAGACCTGCAGAAACACACGCCACCGTCAGCTCGTCACAATCTCCACGGCGGCCGCCAGTGGATCAAAACCGCGAAACAATCTCTGCAGCACAGACGAGCCTAATGCCTATTCATGTGTACTGCAAAAATTCCCCCAAAAGGGACGGAGTCAGGGAACAAGTGAATAACACAAAGAGGCTAGAAAAGGTAGTAGTATTTATCGAAGTCCAGTCTGTGGGCTAGAGGGATCGTGGTGGCGCGACGAACTCAAGCACAGAGGAAACGGGGAATTTGACTCGAACGGGCAGCGCCCACGGATCAGGACCGGCCTGGCCGTCCCAGCACGAGAACTGCCCGGGGGATCCGGCGATGATCTCGCCCGAATTTGAACCCTAGGAGGGAGGATGATAAAATTACTGCTGGGTGGGTGGGGGGCGGAGATCGAACCATCGCAGAGGCGGGCCGCGCAATCGGGTGGCCGGTCCGGCCGAAAAGCTCCGGGGAGTCTCCTCTCCGCGCCGAACAGCCGCGGATCTGATCTGCCTCTGCCGCCGGTTGCCAGCCCTAGCCGCCGCCACCAACCTCGGAGATCGATAACTGAGACTGCTTCCTCTCTCGTACCTCTGCTTTCCGTTCCGCCGCCGCCCCCTGTTTTCCTGCCCCCTTCCTTCTCCCTTCGTGCGGCGCAGTCGGCCAAACGCTGGCTGGAAAAACCGATGACGCGATGCGTGTGCGATACCTTGGAGGCATCATTGCTGACGTGAAGCAAAGGGCGGAACCGTTTGCAAGGCACGTGTGTGTTTCTAGATTGTCAAAAAAAAAAAACTGTAACATTGTACGTACAAATTTTGGGGGTCAATTATGACATTCCAAAAATGAAGCGAACTATCGTTCGTGATTATATATTCGTATTTAATAGAATTCTTCACCTAAATATTAGCTCCCACGATGACCCATTGTATAGCTCGTCGTGTTTGAGGACCGGTTGCATATTACTGCATTGAGTTCGAGAAGGACGACATGTTGATGTCGGCCATGCTAATTTTTTTTGTCTATTCATTTTAAGTATTTGTGATAGTGTATAATAGACTTTGGAGTAGCACCATAACTTAAGGCAATAAATAAAAGTATCCATACTAAGTATGAGGGACAAATCTAGCTCCACTAATATTGAAAGCATGAGAGTTTTACCCCATGAAAAACTATGCTTGTATGAGCGCTAAACAAAAAACATAGTGCGTATACCAAACGCACAAGAGACATGGTAAAGAAATCGAGAGATGACGAGTGTCAATGAAAACTTTGTCGAAAGCGCCACAGGGAAAGCATCATTGGAGATAAGTCCTTTAAGCTCCCTGCACACACCCATCCTGCAACGGCCACCAACCTTCAGGACCACCGTGACGCTTGCCAGAGGCTATTGCCGTCGGATGTGAGGCTTTGAAAGGCTACATACAGAACCGATGCGAGCAACGAGTCAATTGTCGGTGCGGCATGTCGGTTGGGGGAATGTTCCCGTGTTGACCTATACCCAGATCCCCCGACGATACCGACAAAGAATATCAAATCCTCCACAAGCAAACTTTCAGCCATGCACTTTGACGTCATGTTGGATCGACAAACAATAACACCATGCACACCAGGGGGGAATAAAAAGCACGTCACCACCGAGTGGACAAACAAGCACGCGAGACCACCCACTCTTTGATGTTGCCGTGGTGAGCAAGAGACTGTGGCCAGCTTATTCCATGTGACGCCACCCTTGCCACTCTGGTTCCACTAAACGGAAAACCGAGCCTTCCTCCATGTGATGCTACGCTTGCCGCTCAAGTGCCACCAAACGAAAAACTGAGCCTTCCTGGGGAGGGGGGGGGGGGTTGAAAATCGTTGCCATACTGTCAGTCAACACGATCCTCCTCCGCCTTCTCTCAAAAGGGGAAGAGATCGGAGTAATGTTTTACTTTTCCTACCGAAAACATAATTGCCTTTTAGGGAAGAACGTAATAGTTTTTTAGCTGTACCGAGGGCAGGGTTGGCTCCACTCTCCTTTTTCCCTCTATAGGAACCTGTTGGCCTGTCTGTCTCTCTTTCTTTCCAGTAAGAACCTGCTGGCTTTCACTCTCAACAAACTCTACATACCAAGACATCTCAAAAAGAAAAACTCTACATACCAAGAGAGAGAAAAAAACCCTCTCCACACCCAAAATAAAAACTTTGCATACCAAAAAGGGTGCGGCCTGCCGTGGAGCATTTTACAGGCGGCCCACCCATCCACCAGGTTGTGAGCCCACCGAACCGAGAGAAAGAAAGGGAAGAATAGCTCCCCGAAGCACGCGGCGGCCTGTCCGATCCCACGCCCAACGACGAAGATTCCTACGGTTACGTCCGGCCCCGCCTGTCAGCCCACCACCGGGGAAAATATCTCGCGCCGCCGGGATTTAGGGTTCCAACGTTTCCACTCTGGGATTCCTACTACTCTACTACGGGAGGTATATAAAATCCCCGCGCCAGTACTGTACGACGCGGTCTCTCCTCCGCCCATCTCTGCTCCGGTCAACCAAGTTCCTCCTCCGCTTCCCAAGCCGCCCTCGTCTCCGCCCCCCTCCCCCTCGCAGGTGAGGTCCCGCGCCACCTCCTCCGGCGACCAAGTTTCGATTGCAACGGGAGACTGTCCCGCGGTGGCTCTCCGGTCGAGTTTCGGCCCTGTTTCCGGCTCGAGCGGCCCGCGCGTTTGCTCAGGCGTCTGGTTTTGGTTAGAGAGCGTTGCAGAATCAGGTCGGGTGGTTGATACTACTTGATAGCCTGCTACTCCGATGCCCGCGTCGTTGCTGCTCCTTCTGCCTCCGGGATTATGAATCCCCCAACGGCAGGGCACATCTAAGATTTAAGCTTACTGTAGCGCTGTTAGGCAGTTCATGCCCCGCCTAGATGGAATAACTGAGCATGCTTCTAGGGCATACAGTGTATGTTAAGAAATTATTAAGCTATAGCCTTCCGCAAAATTCATTTCCAAACACAGGGCACAGAAAGGAAGATCCAGCAGAATGGCTTTTCCTTTATTTTGCAATTTAGCCTGGGCCCAGGGGCATCTCAGTACAGCGAATCTGCCATGCCATTATGTTTGATGTCCAGCTTCTATTCTGTCCAATGTTCATAGGCGTTCCAGCTTCTCTTCTGCTGTGCTGCGCTGCTTCTGCTTCCTGTAAACTATCCTCTTCTCCACAAAAAGATATCCAGTTTAGCTTAGAAGAGCTAATGATACTGCCTATTGACAAATTGCCATGGTCAGCCTTTTTTTTAGCTGGCTAAGATGTACCAACTCTTTGCGGTACCTATGAAGCACTTACCGCTTAGGAGGTTGAATGAACAGAATATTTGTTGATCGCCATATAATCTCTGTATTGCTCTCGTTCTTTTCGCAAGCTCTAACAATTTCTTACCTGCCCATGTGTTGGATGCGTTTGTTTATCCTCCCAGTGATGGCTGATGAGGATGAGTACCGATGCTTCGTTGGGAACCTGTCCTGGTCCACAACTGATGAAAGCCTCAAAGATGCATTCTCAAAATACGGCAAAGTTACCGAGGCAAAGGTGACTTCCACAATCTCTTGGTCATTGATTCTCTGTTTACAATTCAACAACTGCATATGTTTGCATTATTTTCCTGATCCTACGCTCAGCGTCTGATAGAGCATTGATGAAGCAATTTTTATGCCTGCTACTGGACTATTTTTGTCACTAGTTATTTACTTATTTTGTCTCAGAGATCAATCTTTACCTCAGTTCTGTGTCCAACCTGCTACTGGACTCTTTTCGTCACTAGTTATTTACTTATTTTGTCTCATAGATCAATCTTTACCTCAGTTCTGTGTCCAGCCTTGATACAATAGAGCTTTAGGACATACGGTTGCATATCTATACATTCCCAAGTATTGATTATATGTGGAATGTTTTTTGTTAACTTGTTATTAGTTCCTGAATTGTTTTACAAATATTGGCTTTATATTGGTTGACTGAGTGATGCCTTTTCACCTTCACAACTGTTCCACATATACACTTTGCCGTTTATTCATCATGAGCTTTTATTTATGTTTGTTTTCTGGTAATGTGCAGGTGGTTATGGACAAGTTTTCTGGACGTTCACGTGGATTTGCCTTTGTGACCTTTGATGAGAAGAAAGCCATGGAAGAAGCTATCGAGGACATGAATGGATTGGACTTGGAAGGGAGGGCCATCACTGTTGATAAAGCTCAGCCTCAAGGGGTTGGTAGAGATCGTAACGGTGACCGTGATTTTGATCGTGACCGTGGGTCTCGTGGTGGCCGTGACTATGGCGGTGGTCGTGCGCCGCGTGGTGGTGGTGGTGGTGGGGACTGCTTCAAGTGCGGCAAACCTGGACACTTTGCTAGAGAGTGCCCGGATGGTGACGGCGGGAGAGGTGACCGATATGGTGGCAGAGATGATAGGTATGGTGGTGGTAGATCTGACCGTGGTGGCGACCGTTCTGACCGTGGCGGCGATCGTTCTGACCGTGACCGTTCTGACCGTGGCGGCGACCGTTCTGACCGTGACGGTGATCGATCTGAGCGTGGCAGTGACCGATATTCTAGCCGTAGCCGAGATGGTGGGAGCGGGGGTGACCGCTACAGTCGTGACCGATCAGGTCCGTACTGATAGCCAAGATCTTGAGAAGTGTGTTTCATCCAGGTATGAAAACCCTATCTACTATCATGAGGTGTGTTTCCTTGTATTTGAAACTCTGTGATCATGTATTTGAACTATGATGTTGTACCGTGAGTAAGCAGATCCTTTATTACAGACCATATTACTGACCTGCTTACCATTTCTTCCTGCTTAATGTGAGTCGCATGGACTTAGCCATAATGTTTGGCTCTGGGCCCTGCATGTTTGCTTGATACGCTGCTCGGTGGTTCTTGCTTGGTTGAGAGGTGGCTTGCTGTGTGTTGATGCTCCATCATGTTGGTTGTGCTCATACGGGATACGTGGGTTACGTGGGAGGCATACCATGTTGTTGTTCCTGTGGTACCGGGAAGGAAACGGTCAGCTAAACTTTGCTTGAAAATTTCATCGCAAGAAAAAGGGTGAGGTGACAATCATCGGTCCGTAAAAGGAAAAGCAAACCGGTAATCTCTTTCAATGCTCTGTTTTCGAGATTGAGTTTAGCTATCAATCTTAAATGATCTTCTGTTTTGGCAGGCCCCCTTTTGGGTTGCTTATTTTGTTCTGGATCGGTTTCGTTGGGTTCTTCCTTCCGTTGTTGTCTAATAATGACTGAGGTCATGTTGGTTGATTCCAATCTGTGCCAGTATACCATAGCCATTGGAGGTCCCCTGCTTCTCTGCAGCCTGCCTAAAAATGTTGGTCTGTGCCTTTGCCGCTGTTGCTCGGCTTTGCTACCTGGTCACTGGAGTTTGTCCCAGTTGGTCGGCCTTGCTACCTGGTCGCTGGAGTTTGCTAGCTGTTGCTTCCTTGTTTCGTTGAGCTGTGCCGTTGGTCGCTAGAGATGCATCATTGGGCTGTGTTCGTCGCGAGAGATGCGCATCAGAGTAATGCTGAGCTCTGCCTGGCTATTCTTCTTTGGCAATGCACCACCGGAGTAGCAGGTTCCGTTAGTATGTAGTGTATTATAGTGTGGCATTGCAAGTTTACATGGCCATCAGATAGGTCATCTAAAGAGTTTTTCCTTGTTTAAATTAAGTTTACATGGCATTGCAAGTTTTACATGTTTGGTGGTGTCTAAAGAATGTTTTGTTCACTTTACTTGTTTTTCCTTGTTTAAATTCATGAGCTGTTCATGTCATGTGTATGGAATTGTTGTACTAAGAAAAATGATTGCTGGTTTCACTTGCTAATACAAGTAAAGTTTGCATATAGTTGGTCCATACAATACAAGTAGCCTCAGGATACCATATAATCTGACCATGCCGATGACAGCATCAGTAGAGTGCGTGTCGGTCTGTCACATGCTGAAAACAAATGTCGCCACCTCGCCATCGCCGGAGCTGGGGTCAGAGCGAACAGCTGGGGTTCAGGGGAGCGCGGTGGCGAGGATGGGGTACTTGTTCTTGGGCATGCGCACCAGCGTCGGCTGCACCGAGGCGTCATCCTCCAGCGCCTTCCAGCTGCACAGAAAACAAACGTCAGAGCTAGACATTGGACACGGTGGCCGGCGGCAGAGTTTGCCGGCGGGGGCACAGCGACTCACTCGTATGTGCAGACTAGGTGGTGGGCGAAGACGAAGATCTCGAGCTTGGCGAGGCTCATCCCGGGGCACATCCGCGGCCCGCTGCCGAACCCCAGGAAGCTGTACGGCTTCAGCGACCCCTGCATACGTGCATTGCACAAAGTCAGTCGAGTCGTCAGCTAGCCGGGCCGCTCGCCGGAGACAAGGAAGAAAGAAAGGAGACGCACATCGAATCTGTCTGGGTCGAAGCGCTCGGGGTCGGCGAAGACGGCGGCGTCGTGGTGGATGGACACGACGTCCAGGTTCACCGACGCACCCTTGGCCACCTCGAAGCCGTCGATGCTGAAGTCCTGCGCGGCCTTGCGCGAGTACCACGGCAGGATGGTGGCCCGCCGCAGCGTCTCGTTCATCACCTTGGTCGTGTACGGCATGCTGCTCAGGTCCGACCACCACAGGTGCTGTGTGTCGTCGCCGTCGTGCGCCGCCCGGATCGCCATGTGCTCCTCCCTCAGCTTGGCCAGCACGTCGGGGTTCTCGCCGAGGAACTTGACGAGCCAGGTCAGGCCCGCCGTGGTGGTGTCGTGGCCGGCCACCAGCAGGGTCAGGATGTTGTCCTTGAGCTGCGCGTCCGTCAGCTTCTCCTCCTCCGCCGGGTCCGACGCCGCGGCGGCGCCGGCTTGCTGGCCGCGGGCGTGCTTCATGAGCAGCGTCTGGAGGAAGTCCTCGCGGACCTCGCCGGCCCTGCGGCGCGCGATCACCTCGTCCAGCATGGCGTACATCCGGTTCCGGCCGCCGAGGCCGCGGTGGAAGGCCGTGCCGGGGAGCTTGAGCGGCAGCGACGCGAAGGAGGAGGAGATGGCCTTGAAGTTGGCCCGGAACTCCTCCTGCTCGGGGCCCTCCGGCTCCAGGCTGACGAGCATGTTGGCGATGACCTTGAGCGTGAACTGCGAGGCCTCGTCGAGGACGAGCACGCGGCCGCGGCCGGCCCAGGAGCCGAGGATCTGCACGGCGAGGCCGTCGATGAAGGCGAAGTGCTTCCGTAAAGCGTCCACGGAGAGGGGCTGCGCGATGAGCCGGCGCAGCCGCCGGTGCTCGTCGCCGTTGGTGGTGAGCAGGCTGGTGGGGCCCAGCACCTGCTTGCCGGTGTAGAAGAGGTTGAGGCTCACCACGCCGTCCTTGCCGGAGAGCAGGATCTTGGCTGCCTCCCGCCCCGTCATGAACACCGTCGTCCGCCCCAGCACGTACGTCTTGAACACCTTGCCGTACCTCGCCTGCCGCTCCCGCATGAAGCTCAGGATGCCGGCCGGGTTGGAGAAGGCGGCGATGAAGGCGAAGGTCTCGCCCACCACCGGCCACCCCATGTTCCCCGGGATGCCACGCATCGGATCGTCGGCCGGCTTCCTCCGGGCCACCCGGAGCCAGAACAGGAGCCCGCAGGCCGCCCCCAAGGCAGCGGCCAGTAGCACGGGAGCTCCCATTCCCAAGATGGCCGCCATTGATGGTGTCCGAGAGAAAGCTTGACAGAGCCGTACGTATCACCATCGCCATTCTTGGCCTTATATATCCTTGTCTCTTGTCCTCTGATGCCTCGTCGTCGTTACGCCCGAGAGGGAGCCATTTGGTGCCATGCCAGGGGTTCACTCGAGTTCCATTGTGATCGGCTCAGCTAGCTTTAGCCTTTGTCTTTGGTGCCGATTTGGTTGTCCTTTTTCCTTTAGATTATATACACCATGCATACATCCATGATTACGTGCTCTGCTTTAGCCCTTGTCTTGTTCACACAGTTTCCTTGTAAACTGAACATATCATTTTTCTTAGATTATATAGAAGTTGTTATAACGGCTCCCAAAACCAAAGAAGTATTTGTGTGACTTGTAGAAGAGTGTGCCGGCCATGTGCATGGAGATAAGCTTTGTTTTAACTTGTGCCACGAAGCTCGTGGACAGGCTTTGATAAGGACTATCAACTATGACATGCCCACAAACGTATTATTCTTGAGGTTAACGTAGCCACGTAGGCAGGATTCGTTTTCTACTCACAGGTACCTACCTGTGGTATAGGTCTATGTTCATTTACAAAAGTTGATGAAGCGTGAGAACCAGCCTATGGTTGAATGGTTAACTAGATGGTTGTATCTTAGCCGTTGCATGAATGTGTGTGTATGGCTGGCGAGTTGACACCTTCATCTTGTTCGTGTTGCCCCCACGACAGCTGGACAATCCTCCACCTCCTTCACCCCTCCCCCTCTCCACCTCACTGTCGCCAGAAGGTGTTGTCGGGCGAAGCTCGGCCTATGTCAACGGCGACGGTGGCGCAGGATGCAGTCGACTGTCAGGGTTGCGATGCTAGGTGCGGGACGCGACGGCTGTGTGGTGGAGGGTGCGTACGAGACGGCTGTTTGACGCGTCGGTGACTCTCTCAGGCGATACGGGCAGACTCCCCGTTCCATATGGTGGGGCTTGCCTGGGTAGGATGAGACATGGGGTGGCAGTGTGTGAGGCTCTGGCGGTGATGATGGGCAGGATCGAGGGTTTGGGCGGCAGCGGTTCTTGGAGATTTCTCCATGGCCGGATCTGGCCCATGTAGGTTTGCTGCCTCAGCGGCATGCCTTGAGCGGGTGCTGCCCCCGCGATGCATGGCGAGTAGTCTTCCTATGACGTGTTGCTGGCTAGAGCCGGTGATCCCCGTTCACGGCCGTGGTGGGGGACGGAACCAGCTAGGACTGGCACCTGTGGCCTATGATTGTCCTCTGTGCGTGGTCGACATCATTGTTGCCGGCCCTCTCCGTGGTGGTGCTATGACACAACGGTTTTGCCCTTGTGTTTTCTTTCTCAAGGCGCCCGCTTTCCTACGACCTGGTTTCCTGGTGGCGGTGTCTCTCTTGAAAGCTAGGGTGGTGACCCTGGATGGTGAGGCTGCATGCTTGGCTCTCTGGCGAGCAGCATTGCAGTAGTGGTGGTGTCTGCTCTTGACCGTGTGGATAACAAGGGAGGGGTGGCGGGTGATCTTGGTGTGGTGACAATCCTTGTTTTGGATATGGAGGCCTTCCACTGGTGAGAGCGGGCCCTCCCTCATGCGTTGGGTGAGCAACCTTTGCTCTGTCGAGTGGCACTTGTGAGGGTCCGAGCGAAAGCTTCGCGCTCCAGCGCCATGGACAACGACGCACACGCGTGTCGCTCCCCTCTTGAGGGTATTGTTGTGATCCCCTCACGGCGACTGGGCACCTAGGTGAAAACCCTAGTCCATTTGCTCGGGCTTGACGACGATGGAGCCTGGTGTCATCACCCTCTCGAGGGCGTTGTTTGTGGATCCTCGGTCCCTTTTGTTGCCGCTGGCCAGCAGCTTCTGATTTTGCCTTGTCCCTCGCATGTAGTGTCCTGACTCTGGAGTGAGGTGGTCCCGGCGATCTCTTATATATATTATACACGTGTGCCCATGGTCTTCATTCTCAGCCCTTGCCATCTCCTGG